TATAAGCCTACCAATCGTGTAGGAATGGGTGGCCATAGAATTGGAAATTGTAAGTAAATCAGTCCCTCAATTCACTCTCCAAGGATGTTGTTTATCCACAAATTTTGTTGTCTGCTGAATCTATGCTCCTACTTTATAAGATTATTTTAGTTCTACAAAATAAGGAATCCAGAGATATTTTGTTGCTGTTTACTGCTTGAAAATGGTGTGGTAGATGGTAGCTGTAGTTATGAGGATCTCTATCTACATTCATTTTATGAACATCATATACCCATTAAAGGACTGAGGTGCAGTATTCAAGGACACTGATGCTTTAAGCTTGATTTAGACTTGTCCACAACTGCATGTAGGCATTGATGCATAATTACGCTGCAAAGGGAGTGATGGGTAACCGTAGGTTGCAGATGGTTACAGATGGGCCGATGCGCAAACCTCTCTAAAACTCAACTATGCGTTGTGTGGAAATGCACATCCTGCATGCTGATTGGTTGATCTGACTTCCTGTTGGGAGGTAGGCAGAAGGCAGGGCATATTCAAATGACAAAATGGAATAGCTACAGGAGAGACTTGCCAATGAAGTGAGGAGATATAAACATAGTATAATTCAAATAAGAAGAGATTTCAAAGCACATACCAAATGAATATATTAATTCTTGCTTGGGTCTGAGACCTTCTATGGGGAACAAAATCCATCTTGATGTGGATGTACCATTTACTTGATTGGGATTGTATTTGCAACACTGAGTGATGGTCTCCCTTGCAGCTGCTATTGCTGAGGAGGGGAGGAGAGATTGCTTTTACAATGCAATCTTTGAGGCAACTGAGATTGGCTGTTACTGTAGGGCAGTAAAATCAAGACTGCTTTGCCTTGATTCTACACTGGGAGTTTGCTCTTGAAATCCCTATATAGTTCATAATACTATATAGTACATAATATATAGTACTATATAGTACATAATACTCACATAACTAAGTCAGAATATCAGCAAATAGCCCGAGCCTGCAAAGACGAAGTGAGGAAAGCTAAGGCTCAAAATGAACTAAGGCTAGCGACCAAAGTCAAAAATAAAAAAAAGCTTCTTTCAACATGTACAAAAGAAGAAAAAAGTGAAGGAAACGATTGGTCCATTAGTGGGTGAAAGTGGCAAGAAGGTGACAAGCAATAGGGAGAAAGCAGAACTATTTAACTCATTTTTCGCATCTGTCTTTACACAAAGGGAAAAAACAGACCAACCTATCAAAAATATTGCCATAAAAAACAAAATAGAAATACAAGTTAAGATAGGCAAGAAAATGGTAAGTGAACACCTGTCCAGCCTAGACGAGTTCAAATCACCAGGACCAGATGAATTACACCCTAAGGTTCTTAAGGAACTGGCAGATGTGATCTCAGAACCACTGAACTATATTTTTCAAAGATCCTGGAGCACTGGGGAACTACCAGAGTACTGGAAAAGAGCTGATGTAGTTCCCATCTACAAAAAAGGGGGAAAAAAAGACCCAGGAAATTACAGACCTATCAGCCTGACCTCAATACCTGGGAAGATTCTGGAAAAGATAATCAAACAACGAATCAGTGAACACCTACAGGCAAACAAAGTCATTACTAAAAGCCAACACGGGTTTGTCAAAAACAGATCATGCCAGACAAATCTTATTGCATTCTTTGACCAAGTGACAAAATTACTGGACCAAAGGAATGCTGTGGATATAATTTACTTGGATTTCAGTAAGGCATTTGACAAAGTAGACCACAACCTACTACTTGATAAGATAGAAAAATGTGGGTTAGACAGCATCACCACCAGATAGATCCGTAGCTGGTTGACCGGCCATACTCAGCGTGTGGTCCTCAATGGAACTGCATCTACATGGAGGGAAGTGTGTAGTGGGGTGCCCCAGGGGTCTGTTCTGGGCCCAGTGCTCTTCAACATCTTCATCAATGATTTGGACAAGGGGATAGATGGGGAACTCATCAAATTTGCAGATGACACCAAGCTGGCAGGAATAGCCAACACGCCAGAAGACAGGCTTAGGATACAGGAGGATCTGGACAGACTTGAACACTGGGCACTATCTAACAAAATGAAATTCAATGGTGAAAAAAGTAAGATTCTACATTTAGGCAGAAAAACCAAATGTACAGGTATAGTATAGGGGGTACCTTGCTCAATAGTAGTAACTGTGAGAGGGATCTCGGAGTCCTAGTGGACAATCACTTAAATATGAGCCAGCAGTGTGCTGCAGCTGCCAAAAAAGCCAGCACAGTGCTAGGCTGCATTAACAGAGGGATAGAATCAAGATCACGTGAAGTATTAATACCACTTTACAATGCCTTGGTAAGGCCACACTTGGAATACTGCATCCAGTTTTGGTCACCACGATGTAAAAAAGATGTTGAGACTCTAGAAAGAGTACAGAGAAGAGCAACAAAGATGATTAGGGGA